TCGTACTGGCTGATAGTATAGCACTGGCAGAAAACGCATTCTTTGTTTAAATTCATTGGCACTTAGAAAAATGGCAGTTACAAGTATGCCGAGAAAATGCACAACACAGAAAAGTAAATCACGTGATTGGTGATACTTGAATCTCGAGCCAAAATCTGTCTAAAAATAGCACTGGCCAGCTTCACTTATTGAAGTTAACCATCTAGCAACTTTCGCTGGAATTAAACCCTAATAAAATGCTATTTAATGTAATATTCTAAATAGATACTTTGTTTAGCTGTTGTTCCATCGTCGCTCTATTTTTCGCCATTACTGCAGTTGGCAAGTCTTCCACTCTCCTGTCTTGGCCTGTCTCATCCACATAATTCCATGCAACAATTCAAGCAGAACCATCTACCACTTTGGTAATTCCCTTCCTATGTTCGTTCATCGTTGTTTGAGTATCATTCAATAATCGGCTTTGCCTATTTGCTGCTGTCTTTTATCCTTCCTAGATGATTAGTTCAGATCTTCCACGGCATACACTGCCTTCATATTAACGCTCGTATCAACCCGAATCCTTCAGCCAAAATCAGTTGAATCAGTTGAAGTGGTAATTTAATTGTTCAGTAATCGAACAAAGTTCGAATATATAGTTGAATTTATTGCTATGTGTTTTGCAAATAGTGATAATTGATGCTCACTTCTCTAGTACGGGCGGTACGAAAAGATAAGCAGGTAACTCGACCAAACCCGATAACGCATAATTCCAGTATTTATTTCCAGCTAAACGCGTTGTATAAAGTGATAATCCAAAATAAACAAACGTGTCACTGGTCCTGTAATTAAGCCCTATCATTTTTACCACTAGTATTGGGTTTAAGAAATCGATCAAAAATTTAATTTGAGTCAGTAAATTTCTTTTGTAAATTGCGGTACTAGGGTTTTGAATGTTGTATGTGTGTAATTTGAAACAGCTGTTTATTTCTCAGGGGTGGAGAATCACGCATTGCTAGCTTTAGGAAGCTCAGTGCAGAAGTCACTGCGGCACCCAGTTCTAGTGCATCGACTACAATTTTGCAAAACTTTTGTTGCGAATTTTTCTGCTTCAGAATGCGGCGATTGGTTAAGGGGACTGAGCCGAGACTCTGTGTGTCTTCTGTGTTTTGAAGTTTTTATTTGAGAAGTCATCCCTATAACTCCTCTGAATTTCTATGTGGATAATTTTCTGAATCTCCGAAAGACATCACTTTAATCCTAGCGTAAGCGGAGTCTAGCACACTGGATGCGAAACGGATTGATGGAAGAAGGAAATACTTACCACAAAAATATTAAAATGAGCGTATAAACAATAAAAATTTTGTGCCTTAGTAATTGTTGGAAAACAGATATCCTGAAATCAAAATATTTTCTATAGTTCAACGCTTTTAGCTTCAAACAATTATATTTATATTCAGAAACAGTGCTTTTGTCTTTTCTATCAGACAAGTCCCAGCTCCTTTTAGAAATTGCTCAAGATTGTTCTAAAAGGCCTTCTCAATTTTTGGTCGAAAGTTCAGCAATTGAGGTTGCTAAAGCTGTTCCAGTAGTTGCTAAAATTGAAAGTGATTTACCAATGCATTTGCTTCCTAGACTCGATTCGTCTTTTCATTGTTTAACTTTTTTATGCAGTGTTTCTTGCTTTTCAGGCACTTCTCACGAAATATGCTCTTTTTACTTCCTCCCCTTCTTATTCTTATTGACGTTTAAAATTAATCAAAATTCGGCTCAAAAAACTATTTTTGCCACAGTGCAAGGTATTCGTGGAATCCCCATGCTTAAGGAGTTGCTCAGAATACTTTACTGGATGTATTTCTAAAATCGTTTTTTTTTGGTTCATGAATTAAAAAACTGATCTATATTTGATTTCGGAGCAAGGACCAGAAAAAAAGTGAGCTGACGACTAATTATAGTTTTTTGATGCTATTATATATACAATCAAAGAGTTTGTTTCCAAAATTTCAGCTTTTGAGGGCTACAGAATTCACTCGATTTAAAGCCGGAGGTTAAAGGTGAGGATACGAAACGAACCAAAATTTAAATTCTTATTTCTGGCCTCTCAAAATTTTTCAGGTTTTTGGATTTCACATTTAAGAATTCGAAATGTCCAGAGAGCCATAGGCATGACCTTACTTTATCGCATTTTAGTGCTGCATTAGTTGACGGAAAAGCGCATAAAAAGAACCCCAAATCATCGTCGACTTTTTCTTCACT